CATGAACTTTACAATTAAATTTATTAGTTGTTTTAAAATACATTATGTGTATTCACTATCTATAGAGCTTCCAGATGTTGAATGAAGGGTCACCAGAAATCATCTTTCCATTTAAAACATCTTATGTATGTGTAAACTGAAGTTTTGAAAATTCAATGAATTAGCCAACATGACAATTCTGAAATTATTAAATTAACCAGTTTATCTTTTCCTGTCCTAGTAAATTCATAGACTGCGGTGTAGCTAATGTGCCAGGAATTGCTCCAGATGCTTTTACATCTATATTCCCTGATTTCTCCACAAGTTTATTAAGTTGAATAGTTGTTACTTTTATTTAGATTGTGACACACCAGAGATAGCGTAATACCTTCATATTTATAGAAGTGTTAATTTTCAAACCAATTTTAGACTCTGACAGAATGTTTATCCAGTTAATTCATATAAAATTAAGTTGCAATTTACGATTATTCTATGTTTCCATTGCTGCAAGCTTAGAATTTGGAATTTCACTATGAATTAAATAAGAAATATATGTAGTGGATGTCATGAGATATCTGGGGCCACAGAGGTGTGTATAAGCATCATAGATGATTCTGGCAGGGGAGGATAAAGCATCAGGTACAGAGCCTGGGCTCTGGACAGAGGCACGTGTCCCACCTACATTTACAAGCTCAGAATCCTGGTACTAACCTAACTTCCCTGAGACAGATTTTCATTATCTACACACACACACACACACACACACACACACACACACAAATATTAGTCCTCCTTCAAGATATTATTGTTGAATAATCCATTTTTTTTTAAATGAGTGAAATGTGATGTGTTTGGCACAGCTGGCCAGCTGCTAGCTGTACTATTCTTGTGCAGAAGGAACACTGGCCTGTATGTGGTTTGAGAAATGAGGGTGGTAACACATGGGGCTTCAGCTTTGGATGCAGTCTGAAGTCTCAAAACCTCCCTCTTTGGCTTTCACACACTGGTCACATGGATTTTATGTAACAGGCACTCCCTTGGTGGTCTGGCTTTCTGATTGGCTGCTCTGTTGATTCCACGTGAGCTGTTCTTTTTCCTAATGTTTTCCTTGAAATCTGTATTCCAGCCTGAGTTGAGTCTTTCTCTTTCTCACTTCTGCCATGTCATGATTAAACTGCACATTTTGAGAGTCAAAAATTCATAGTTTTTGGATTACCTTTAGCCTGAAGTCCTGTTTTGGTGGAAATTCTATGCTTGAAGATTTTTATTTGAATATTTTATAAAATAGCAACAGTACTTTTAAATCTTTTTATTTGAATTTTGAGGCTTTAGAAGTATCTCCATCCTCTGCCAACTTCTATTTCCTATTATTCTCCTCCTGCTTCATGCACAACTACACCTGACAAACCTAGACCATAAGGGCTAATGTTTGCCAAACCACTTCTAGTATCACAACATATGAAAAGATCTTTGTATATAAATATGTATGTGACTCGTGTGTGTGTGTTTGTGTGTGTAAAGTAGGTATTTTTATCATTTACTATTTGCCATGAAAGCAATGGATTATTTATGAAGTTCAATGATATTCTATAATTTCAAAGCTAGTCTGAAGAAGATTCAAGATTTGATATTTAAACCCTGTTTCATTCCTAATCAGAAGCCATTCCTTTTACCTGCATCACTGTCTACATGGGCAGATGGGCCAATAATATAAAAATCAGATTATGAAATTGGGGGATGTTAAAATGAAATTCTAATCTTGCTAAAAGTCTTACAATTTTTATCTTGGAGGTTTTCCTCGACCATGGTTG